CATGGTGCAAGGAGGGACTAGTCCTTGGAGAGGGACACCATGTTTAGGAGAGTGGAGGGGCAACGCAGGAGAGGAAGATCCTCGATGAAATGGATCGATTCTGTGACTGGAGTGGTGGGAATGAGTGTGTCAGAGGTGGCGAGGTTGGCACAGGATGGAGCAGGGTTTAGGGCTCTTGTACATAGGGTCGCTATGAGTCACAAGCAACTTGACAGCACATAACAACAACACCAACAGCAACATTATGATGCTGCCTATTGGCCCAGCAGTGAGAAGTTTTGTCTTCTTGATCTCGAGATGTAATATACATTGATGGCTGTAGTTTTTGATCTGCTGCAGCAAATGCTTCAAGTCTCACCTTTCAGCGAAGAGCCATTTAACGTCTCTAGTGCCATGGCCTCTTCTAAACCCTGCTTGCCCATCTGAGCATTTGCAGTAAATGCTTTTGTATAATAATCAGTACAATCTTGCTTGTGTATGTTAGTGATATTGTTCGATAATTTCCACACTTTGTTGGACAACCATTTTTTAGAATGGTAATAAATATGGATCTCTTCCACTCAGTTGGCCATATAGTTGTCCTCCAGATTTCTTGGCATGTCCTGGTGAACATGTCCATGGCTGCATCTTCTTATTCAATTTTTATTCCATCAATTCCTGGCATCTTGGTTTGTTTTTTTTTTTGGTTCCTTTTAGAGCAGCTTGAACTTCCTCCTTTATTACCATTGCCTCTTGTTCATATGCTGTTACATGAAATTCTTCTATATCAGCCAATTCTGTTTGGTACATTGACTCTGTGTCTTCTTTCTGTCTTCTTTTAATGCTTCATTCAACATTCTGCCCAGAGAATCCTTAAGTTCTACAACGCGAGGCTTGAATTTGTTCTTCAGTTCCTTCAGCTTAAGAAATGCCAAGTGAGTTCTTTTCTTTTGATTTTCTGACTTCAGTTCTTTGCTGGAGAATAATATTGAAAATATCATGGACTGTCAAGAGAACAAACAAGTCTGTCTTGGATAGAGTGAAACCAAGCTGCTCCTTGGAGGCAAGGATTTTTCTTTTCTTTAATTTATTTGAATCAGATCTGACTGGTACAGGAGGAGATTGTCCCTCCTACTCCAGCAGAGTATCTGGTAGATTCGAACAGCACAACCCTGGGATTGCAGTGCAGCTTCTTGCCACTAGGCCACCAGAGTCCCTGGAGGCAAGGATTTTGAAGCTCTGTGTCACATACTTTGGGCACATGGCAGGGGGATTCAGTCCTTGGAGAAGGACATCATTCTTGGAACGGTGAAGGTACAGGACAGGAGAGGTAGACACAGATGCGATGGATTGACACAATAACTGAGGTAATGGGGTAATGTCAGAGACAGTGAGATTAGTTCAGGATAGGACAGGATTTAGAGATCTTTTACATAGAATTGCTATGAATTGCAAGTGACTTGACAGTACATAACAACAAACAACAGAATTTTGCATTTAAATATAAAAAGAGGCCAAATATCACAGTGTCATTCCTTATAAAATATGTAGTGAATATTGAGGGATACAAAAATGAAGAGAACCTGCGCTCAAGGATTCTGAAGTCATCAATGTCTTATGTGATTGTCACAATGTCTTCTGTTTCGCCCATACTCTCCCACTCAAAAGCAAAGCAAGACTTTCATATTTAATTTGAAACATCTTCATTCTTAAGATTTTTTCACTCATTCACAGAGACACCAAACAGAGAAACACTCCATAGCCTCCCAGGGATAAAGACTAGAAATGTGGACTTTGTGTCCTCTCCTGAAAATTCCTCTGCTGCCTGCTACCATCTCCAGAAAGTTAAGGGTCCCTGGCTCTTGCTGCTCAACCCTCCCTAGGGGTAGGGGGGGGAGTCAAGAAACACTCCCTGGGGGGTCAAGCAGCACAGGAATTGGATCTTACTTTCTTTTGTTGTTGTTGACAAATGATTCTTTATTGAAGTATTTTCATCTGTAGTTCCTTAGCTAGTTGGGCATTCCACAGCACCACTGCTGATTTTTCTATGATGTCATGAGGGTGGCGGCCATCAACATTGCAGCCCACAGATTGAGCAATTCCCAAGATCTCTTTAACAGTTCCAGAGAATTCTCTGGCTAAAGACTGGTGTCCCATCTGCTGGGCAATGCAAACAATCTCATCAAAAGTGATATTTTCACTGTGCTTAATGTTTTTCTGCTTCTTTCTGTCTCTGGGTGGTTCCTTTAAGACTATGATGATCAGGGCATCACTTCAATCTGGGCCTGTCTGTCCTGAGTGGTCAGTTTCACAGTAATCTTTAGTCCCTTCCAGTCACCAATGGCCTTGGCAATGTGATCACCAACCTTTTTTGGAGACAGACCCAGAGGACCAATCTTAGGGGACAGAGAGGACGTGGCACTGAACCCCTATGTGGGACAACTGAAGAAAGTTGCACCTGAAGCCTCCTCCAACCCGAAAACCGAAAGGGACCTTACTTTTGACAGCAAAGGTTGCATCTTAAGTATTCTGACTTTGTTAGAGGGAAACAAGAAGGGTACAGGGTTGGGGTGGGGTGAAGTCCAATGTATAGCAGGGTATATCCTCCCCCAAGTCCTCACCAGAGGCTCTCAGTGAATCCTTCTCCTCCTCCTCGTTGCAGCCTTCTTTCCCAGGAAGGTATGGTGGATCTGAGCAAGTGCTCAGTTTATGCCAGTAAGAGTCGGCAGAGTGTATAGGTTCCAGAGAGGCTGCTTCTTCTAGCCTCCCTTTGCCGTCTTGACCTTTTGTGAACAGAGTTGGTGACTCCCCTCTGGAAATCCTCATTCCCTTTCCCCACCCCTACTCCCCACGACCCAGATCTTTGGTTTCTGCAGGGAAGGCCCCGTCTCTGTCATTTCAAGATAAGGCCTCCTCCAACCACCTCTGCACTTACTTGACAGCTGCATGGAAACAGGTTTGGGCAACTAATCTCCCTTCCGGTCCTTTCTAGTTTCCATTTACATTGACTTTTGATTATGTCCTATGTCTTCAGAGAGTCCATACTGGGTAGGAAAAGGGGAAATGCAGGAGGTGCGCCCTGAGCTGGAGAGTGGTCAAGCTGTGACTGTGCTGAAACTCTCCTAGATGACCCCTCAGGGACATCATTGGCTAGATTCAACCGCTGCACCACCAGGGGGCGCGCTCGTGCCCTCGAGCTGGCCAGGGATTCCGAGTGCAGCTTTATCAAAGCCTGTCCAGCTGTTCGTCTCTAGGACACTGGTAGTGTTGGTGTCAGAGCACCTGTGAAGGAAACTGGAAGCTGTGAATCACCTCTGAAATATCATAACCCCCTCTTCGATTCCAGGTATGTGAATCTCTCTCTTAGTTCCTGTACTTCTTTCTTATTCCCATAGACATCAACTTCTAGCATTTGAGATCAACTCTGGAAGAGATTCCAAAGGTCCTGTTAAAATCCGGAAAGGATTATAAACAAAAATGTGGAGATGGGGGCATATAGGGGCGCTGTAGGCATCCTTGGGATGAAAAAACTGCGGTCTCTGTAGAATTCCTTCGGTCCTCTTTTGCTTGCTTTCTCTCCCATTCCTTTCTGAAGCCCTGGTCAGGAGGATCCTAACAAGCTCTCCCAGAAGTGGATAAGGTTGATTTGTGCTTGGCCAGCTTTTGCCCTGTCACTGCAGCCCTCTACCTCGAGCACAGACTCTTCCTGGACCAACAGTAGACTTCCAAAGGCAACGTTTGTTTTATCCTTAAAGGAAGGGACTGGTAACTGCCGGGTTTGTTCTGTCTGTGTTTGAATTTCGGGTTCCCATAGGAAACTTCCATTCTCCTCCTCTATCTCTTCTTCCTTTACTTCTGGGGCAGAGCTTCCACGAACAAGCTTAGCAGGACTGCGAAAACCTGTTTTCTCCTGTTCCTGCCCTTCCTCTGCTATCTGTCTGACCTCTATGTTACACCCTCTGTCATAAAATGCTAGTGACAATCTTTGGTCTCATTCTTCAGTCAGTTTTTTATGGGTTCCAATCTCTAATCCTTTAGTCTTATAAAAGGCAGCTCTTCCTGTCAGCCACTGGATTTCAACTGATGGAAACTCTTTCAGTTATTAAGATTTATTGTCCTTCCCACTTAAGAAAATTTAGGACACTGTCTCTGAGACCTTGTGGTATAGCTTAGAAAAGAAATCTGAGTCATTCAGATTCTCTACATGTAACCTAGGCAGGCGGAAGGGTCAGATGGCAACGTGGTTGGGCACCCAGGACCGGGAAGGAACATTTAAGCAGCAAAGGGTAAAAGTCCCACCTCTTGCTTTACATAAATTATTAACTTCAACCCTCATTAGTGACCATTTCCTCTCCCCTTTCTTTGTTCTTGGTGGTCAGAACCCCCTTTATAATCCCTTTTAGCTTCCTGTCCTGAAGAATTACTGTGGAAGGAGGACTTTTATTACTTTACATGCTTTGCCTTCTCTTTCTGATAACAGACAGAATGATAGACTTTAGAAGGGGACAGGTAGAACTCTGTGAGACACTGCAACTTGCTTGATGTCACACAACTAGGTTGTGGAGGTAGCTTTGAAATCCAGATGTGTGTCCCCAAGTAAAAATTTTCCTGATTGTGGAGACCAGAATCTAGGACTTGAATAGGTACAAAAGTAATTACACACAGTTCAGAACTGGAGGCATTCCAGTGTGTGTGTGTGTGTGTGTGTGTGTGTGTGTGTGTGTGTGTGTGTGTGAGAGAGAGAGGCAGAAAAGGATGAGAGAGAATGGCTGGGAAGAGGTGAGTGGGATATATAAAGGGTTGAGAAAACAATTCTTGGATAATCAATAATCTTAAAACTGGCATCAGTCAGTAAGCTGGAGTTCATAGGTTGGGGTCAGAGTCAAAGATGCCTAAGCAAGCTGTTGAACAGGAAGTTGCTTTCATGCCAAAAAGCCTTGAGATCACTTTGATTTCAGTTCTACTTATTGCAGAGGCAAGTACTCTTCTGATCCTAGTCTATCTGTGTGCCCCTAAAAGACATGTGGCTCTACCTGGTGGGCCTTATAGGCCTATACTACCTTTTGCGCTGGTACCGAGAGAGGCAGGTGGTGAGCAATCTGCGAGACAAGTATGTCTTCATCACGGGATGTGACTCTGGCTTCGGGAACCTGCTAGCCAAACAGCTGGACCTGAAAGGTTTGAGGGTGCTGGCTGCATGTCTCACGGAGCAGGGGGCCAAGAAGCTGAGGGACCAGACGTCAGACAGGCTGGAGACAGTGATCCTGGATGTCACCCAGACAGAGAGCATCGCTGCAGCCACCCAATGGGTGAAGGACCGTGTGGGCAACAGAGGTAACATCCAGATTCCTATTTTTGCTTTTTGCTACTTCTCTCTATCTTAATGGGAGGCCTTTTTTTCTGCTGCCTGGGAAGAATCCTAAAGTGTGTATCCAGTTGTATTAAGACTTCACCACCAACCCAGAGGCACATGGTTCGAATCCACCAGATGCTCTGCTGGAGAAGGAGGAACAATCTCCTCCTGTACCAGCCAGATCCAATTTAACGGTACACACACACACACAATTTTTTAAATTTTAAAAATTCTAAAAAAAAAAGACCTCACCACCTCACCACCATGCCAGTCTGAACCCCTTATGCTTTCCATTCTTGTCTTCCCCCATCTCATCTTAGTTTTGGAGTTCCATAGTGTGATAAGTTTGTGCTGATGAGAATTTGTGTGTCTCAAATTAGCTGTCAATCCATCTCATTGAGGCTCTTCCTCTCTTTTGCTGACCCTCTACCTTTCCAAGTTATAGCCTCTCTTAAGAACTCACGGCAACCCTAAAAGACAGGGTAGAACTGTCCTATAGTGTTTGCAAGGTATAAATCTTTACAGAGTAGATTCTCACATTTTTCTTCTGCAGAGAAGCTGGCAGGTTCGAACTGCTTGCACACCTTTGAATTAAGACTTGAGTGCTAAATGGCTGCATCCACTAGGGATCCTTAGAAATTGTCTTACTGTTGCTATTGTTAGATTCTGTCGAGCACAACTCATAGCAACTCTATGAACAACAGCTCTCTGAACCCTGTTTTATCCTGTGCCATCCTCATCATCTCTGATACTTGAGACCATTGCTGCAGTCACTATGTCAGCCCATCTCATTGGGGGTCTCCCTTTCTTTTACTGACTCTCCACCTTTCCAAGTATGATATCCCTTTCCATGGGATAGCTTCTCTTAGCAACATGCCTGAAGTATGAGAGACAAAGCTTTGACATCCTTACCTTCCCCCCCCTTTTATTTAAATTTATTATTAATTTCAGTAAAAATTTACAGAGACTTTGGATTTCCATTCATTCATTGTTGCACTTTTCTCCCCTTCCAACCCTCCCCTCTAGTACACTACCCTCTTGAAAATGTAAAAGAAGAATTCTTTCATTGTTTTACAAACCCTCCGCCAGGTCCACTTCACCATTTAGCCTTCACTCTAGACTCCTGTCATGACAAAAATACCTATTCACATATCCCTTTTAAACAGTTTTCTCCCTTATCTGTTTCAATGCAGTATACATTATTGAGCCCATCTTTCTCAGTCTCTCCCCGCCCCCAAGGTCAGTCCTGTTTTATAACAGTGGCACCATGCAGTATTTGTCCTTTTGTGACTGAGATACTTCACTCAGCATAATGTCCTCCAGGGTCACCCATTTTGAATAATATTGCATGAGTTCCTTGTTTTTCAATGCAGCATAGTATTCCATCGTGTGAATATACCACAGCTTTTCTATCCATTCGTTTGTTGATGGGCCCTTAGGTTGTTTCCAAATCCTTGCTATTATGAACAAAGCTGCAATAAATATGGGTGTGCATATATCTACTTGGATGTCAGTTATGGTCTCTTTGGGGTATATTCCCAGTAGTGGAATTGCTGGGTCAAATGGTATCTGTATTTGCAGCTTTCTGAGAAAGCACCATACTGCCTTCCACAGTGGTTGCACCATTTTACACTCCCACCAGCAGTGAATAAGGGTTCCAGTTTCTCCACAACCTCGCCAACATTTGTTGCTTGCTGTTCTGTTAAATTTTCCTATTCTGATGGGGGTGAGATGATATCTCATAGTTGTTTTAGACATCCTTATCTTTAAGAAGCCCTCTGGCTACACTTTCCCCAAAACATATCTGTTTGTATTTTTGGCAGTCCATAGCATATTCAGTACTCTTCTACAACACTATAGCCCAAAGGCATCAATTCTTCTATCATCCTTATTTACTGTCCACCTCTAAGATGCATATCAAGTGATTGAAAAGAACATGGCCAGAATCAGGCACATCTTGGTCTGCAAACTGATATCATTGTTCTTCAGTAATTTGGAGAAATCCCTGACAGCAGACTTTCCCAATGCAGTATGTCTCCTGATCTGACTGCTGGTACCAAGGATGTTGATTGTGGATCCAAGTAAGAGGAAATCACTGAGAGCGTCAATCTTTCTCCATCTATCATGATGTTGTCTCTTGGTTCAGTCATGAAGATTTTTGTCTTCTTGATGTTGAGATGTAGTCTTTGAACTTGAGCAGCAAACCTTTCAAGTCCTCTTCACTTTCAGTTAGCAAGGTTGTGTCATCTGCATAATGGAGGTTATTGAGGAGTCTTTCTCTAATCCTGATGTCTATGAGTGTTTCTCTGATCATGATGTCACATTCCTCTTCATAGAGTCCAGCTTCACTAATTATTTGCTCAGTAACCAATTGAATAGGTATGGAGAAAGGATACAACCCTGATGCACACCCTTCTTGATTTTAAATCATGCAATATTTCCTTGTTCCTTTCAGACAACAGTTTTTTAATGTAGGTTTAGATTTTGTATAATGTTACAGAATTCCCATTCTTCTCAATGTTAGCCATAGTATATTATTATCCACACAATACCTTTGCGTAGTCAATAAAACACAGATAGACATTCTTCTGGTATATTCTGGGTTTAGTCAAGATCCATCTGACATCAGCAGTGAATATCTCTAGTACCACGGCCTCTTCTAAACCCAGCCTGAACTTCTGGCAGTTCCCTGTTGATGTACTGTTTAAGCCATTTATATGTGATCTTCAGCAATATTTTGCTTGCATCTTGTATTAATGATATTGTACAATGATTTCCACAGTCTATTGGATCATGTTTCCTGGGAATGGGAAAATATGGATCTCTTCCAGTCAGTCAGCCAGGTTGTTAACAGCCCTCTAAATTTCCAGGCATAGCCTGACGATCATACCAGGGTTTCATCTATTAGTTGAAATATTCAGTTGGTATCCTATCTATTCCTGCAGCCTTATTTTTTTTGCCAGTGCCTTCAGTGGAGCTTTAATGTCTTCCTTCATTACCACTAGTTTTTGTGCATATGCTGCTTCCTGAAATTTTTCATTGTCAGCCAATTCCTTTTGGTACAATGACTCTTTGTATTCCTTCCATCTTTTTTTGATTCTTCCAAGATGATTCAAGATTTTTCCCACGGCACATGTCAGTAGTACAACTCTAGGCTTGAATTTGTTTTTCAGTTCTTTAAGCTTGAGAAATTCTGAGCAAATTCTTCCCTTTTTATTCTCCAGGTCTTTGTGGAGTTGGTTTGTTTGTTTCCTATTTTATTTTTTTTATTGTGATTTTAATGAAGGTATACATGAGGTTGGGTTTTCATTCATCCATTGTTGTATATTTTCCTCCCTTTACCCTCCCCCAGTTCACTTTGCAACACATCCCTTGTTCCAGATTGTTGTCATACATACAATGTCTAATTATACATTTTTCCTCTCATCTGTTCCAAGGTAGTGTTCCTTATCTATCTACTCTTGTCCTGTCCTCTTTCAACCCCTCCTCCATGTCAAGCCTATTTTATAACAGCAGTGGTATACAGTATTTGTCCTTTTGTGACTGAGATATTTCACTCGTCATAATATTTTCCAGGCTCAACAAATCTTTGACAATTTTATCAATGCTTTTCCCCTCTGTGTCTTACTGTTTTGGAATTCCGATTACACATAAATCATTTCCGTTAATGGTGCCCCACATAATTCCCAAGTTGTCTTCATTGTCTTCCATCAATTGTATTTTCCATTGATTCAATTTTGCTCTTTTGTCTTATATACAATCCATTTCTGAAGTCTGATATTAGTCTTCTAGATTTCTGTTTCTTGTTTTGTATAATTTCTGCTCTTCCATTTTTTGTCATTTGTTCTTGCACTGTTTTCTAAGTTCTTCTAAAGTTTTGTCTTGATTTCCTTTTTCTGTCAGCAGTTTCCTTGAACTTTCTCTAAATCCACTGAAGGTACTTCAAGGACTTTCTTTTGTTTGTTTGATTGGTTGTTTTGGTTTGTTGTGTTGGGGTTTGTTTTAATTTGTAATTTTAGTGAAAGTTTACAGAAAGGATGAGTTTTCATTAATTCATTGATACATATTTTCCTCCCTTCCCTCCTCCAATTAATTTTGTAATATATATCTTGTTCCAGATTGTCAATTGTCATACACACAGTGTCTCTCCATCCATTCCCTGCAGATAGCCCCTCCCTCCTCCCAATCTAGTGTTGTGTGCATTACTTTTCATTCTTTCTGTGCTTACACCTCTCCCATCCAGCCTAATTTTAATAGTGGTGGTCCTATACAGGATTTATCTTTTTGTGGGTGAAATATTTCACTCAGCATACTATTTTCCAGACTCATCCATGTTACGTACATTTTTACAAGTTCTTTGTTTTTCAGTGCTGTGTAATATTCCATTTGTGGTTTTTTTCTATATCCATTTGTTTGTCTACAGGCAGCGGGGCTGCTTCCATATTTTTGCTATTGTGAATAACACTGCAATAAAATGAGTATGCATACATGTATCTGAATCATACCTCTAATTTCGTTAGGGAATATTTCTAGTAGTGGGATGTTGTTGTTATGTGCTATTTAGTCAACTCCAACTCATAGCGACCCTATGATGCAACTGCTCTGAACCCTGCTCTTTCCTGAGCCAATTTCAGTATCTCTGACATGCATACCCTCATAACCCCACACTGAGTCAATTATCTCATCCAGGGTCTTCCTCTCTTGCACTGTCCATCCACCCTTTCAAGCATAATGCCCCTCTCCAAGGACTGGTTCCTCCTTACAACATACCAGAAGTATTTTATGATGAAGTTCAAAATCCTTGTTTCCAAAGAGCATCCTGGTTTTACCCTATCCAGGATAGACCTGTTTTATCTCTTAGCACCCATGGTATATTCTGTATTCTTCTCCAGCATTACAACTTGAAGGCATAGCTGGGTCAAATAGTATTTCTATTTCCAATTTTTTGAGGAAGTGTCAGACTGCTTTCCATAGTGATTGT